AAATTTGAAAATGGTGAGTTAATTAACTAGTGGTATTAATCTATAAGTTTAAAATATTAATATATGAATCTCTCCAAATTATTAACTTCTTTAAAGATTTAGTAAATTTACATTTAGTACAAGAACTACAAATACTTAGTAGTATTACAAAAAAATATATATAAACGTACATCATTAGAAAGTCTCAAATACTTGTTGGCTCGATAAGATTTATTTGAAGTAAATTATTTATTATTCGAGCAACTCTCTCTTGTTGTTAATATATAACTGGGATAAATAGTAAGCCTTTTTTGGTATGACTTTCAAAGAGTCGCGTTTTCTTGCTGTTACTCCCATGCTTTCATCCATATTGATAGATTTAGGAGACACACCATCAGGAAGCTCCCATTCGAATTCATGAAGTAACGATCCCAGAGCGAAATGCATCATTCGATGACCTAAAGGCAAACCAACACACATTCTTCGTCCTGCACCAAATGGAATTAGCTCATAATGCTGACCCTTTACATCTATTTTCGAGCCAAGAAACCTCTCAGGCTTGAAACTCATAGGGTCGTCCCAACATTCAGGATCTCTTCCAATTGCCCAGGCATTTACGAGGACTTGAGTCCCTTTTAGCACGTCGTACCCCATGAAGTTAGTGTCATGAATCGTCTCTCTTGGGATCAAGAAAGGGAGAGGAGGATGTAAACGGAGTGATTCTTTGATTACAGCTTGCATATAAGGAAGATTTTCGATATCACTTTCTTCAAACCTGTTGTTTGATCCTACTGCTTTTGATATCTCTGTTTTCACTTCAGCCATTGCTTGTGGATGGCGCAAAAGCTCTGTTAGTGCCCATTCAACGCTACTGCTTGTCGTCTCTGAACCAGCTAGAAACATTTCCTGTTGTTTCATACATATGGAACATGAGTTTCAGTATAAACAATTTGATGTTTCGAACAAATGTATAGTCCACCACGTTCACACTAGATCTCAAATATGAAAGAATTTACTAACGATAAATGAATACTTACCACTATTAATACTTTGATCTCATGTTCTGATAATTTAGCTGGTTCATCTTTTCCAGTGCCTTCGAATTCAAGCAACACATCCAAAAAATCTTTCATTTTCTCCATACCTTTCTTTCGTTCTTTGAGTAACATAGACATGATCTCCATGGCCTTCCCCATGTCTCGCGTCATCTTCTTCCTCAATTTTTGTAAATCGAACATTCTAAGAAACGGAAATATATCAGAAACATTAGCAATACCTGACCACTCCATGATTCCCTTCATAGCATTGAAGAACTCCGAGGCCTCCTCGGATTCAGGATCAGCCAAATCTTTCGATAGAATCAAATTCCCCAGCATATTAAACGATGCTAGGAACACAAAACGTGTTACCTCAATTCCATTTCCTTTTTCAGCAGAATTCACTGTTTTCTCTATCCATTTCAACATATTATCCACACATTTTCGCCTTATTGGCACTGTTTCACTGATTTTTTTGTGTACAAACATTTCCACAGTACATATCCGCCTTTGAAATCGCCAAAAGGAGCCATATCTGCCTACAGCCAGAGACCCTTGAAAGTAATTATGTGCCTGATTTACATCAACGATTGGTCGATCCGCGAAGGACGTATCATGATTCTTAAATAATTCTGCAGCAGCCTCAGCTGTTTGAACAACCATAATGTTTGTTGAGGGGCCAAGTTTTAACCCCAAAACAGGGCCATATTTCTGTTTTAGAGCTGACATTTTTTTGTAAGGCTCTTTTCCAAGTTCAAACATGTTACCAAAAATTGGTAATCCAGGCGGCCCTGGAGGTAAATTGTAACAACATTTACTACTCTTTTTCTGAGAAAAAAATAGGATCAAAATTGGTAAAAAGATGATTGCAGAGAAAAATAGATAGCTCCATTCCCATTCCATTTTTTTCTTTTTGGTTGACTTTACTGTTTTGCTGCAAATTGTGTCATGATAAGCTCTTATTTATAATTATTTCTCATAACTTGGCATTATTTATTCAATGGACCCTGATTTTTATATTGTGTCGGCTCTAACTTATACAAACTTTGAAATTTAACGGGTCAAGTGGAACTAACCCTTCATTTAAAGGACCCTTAAAACAGCCAACCGAACCCTCTACGTGGGTTGCAGTCTTGCAGTCACAATATATTGACGATTCTAGTAATTTGATAACCTGTACCCTGAATGAGTGGGCGTTATTATAGCAAAATAGTCGAATATAAGGAGTAATGAATGTTAAAGAAAGACAAAAATCTTATATTGATAATGAGATGGGTGGATAGATATAAGACTTGGACGATACTTCTCTCTTTGAACTAGTTTTTTGAGGTGAGTTAGATATAAAATCTAATTTCACATGATATGATAATAGGGTCATGGCACCCAATGTTGGGTCCCTCCAAAAATATTCCATGCACCACATGCTAATTAAGCACCAGACGTGACAGGTGGACTCCTTATAAGACTTGGACGATCCTCTTTCCTTTGAGTTAGTTTCGGGGAGTGAGTTAGGTCAAAAACCTGATTTCACAACGAATACCGTTGTTCAAATGTGTGTTGAATATATTTACATTTGGGGTGTGAGTTAAGCATAAGATCTAATTTCACAATGAATATAGTAGTTCAAATGTGTATTGAACATATTTACTTTTAGGGTATGAATTAGGCTTAAGACCTAATTTCACAACGAATACTGTACTTTAAATGTGTATTGAATATATTTAAAAATTAGAATAGATAAAAGTTTTAATATTGGCACCGTGTCCAGCTCTCCAATCATATGCCCCTTCTGTTCGAATTTAATTTCAAATAAAATTTCTATTTTTACTTGTTACTTTTGACAAATTGAGGAAAAAATTATTTTTTTCTTATAATACTCTTTACTTATTAATATAGAGATAAAATAGTAAATTTATTATATTAATTATTATTTTATTAATAAATATATCAAGTCAAAAGTTAACAAGTAAATTTGAGCCAACTAGATAATGACTTCTATTTTATTTTTATTTTTTAAAAAGAGAAAATTGTATATAATAACAAACTAATAACTTAAAATAAATGAAGTACTTAGAGTTTGATTTAATTGTGCTACATAGCAAAAGTTTGCAAAAAATTGTCGCTCTCCACTCTCTTCCAATCTCTCGCTCGCTTCCTCACTTTTTATACAAATACAAGTGTATAAAAATTGTTTCTAATTGTATAAAACAGAGAAAATTGTATAAATACATATATTTTTGTTCCCCTCTCTCCCCTCTTCCAGATCTCGCTCACCACTCTCCCAAATCTCGCTCGCCACCCTCGCCACTCTCCCAAATCTCGCTCGCCTTCCTCACTTATACAAACAGAAGCGAAATGTATAAATTGTGTTTCTGTTTGTATAAAGCGTGAGAAAATTGTTATACACATGCAAGTACACATACTTTCGTCCTATACACTTATAATTATACAATAAAAATACTCCCCTACCCAGTTTCTTTTGTCTTTCTCTCTTTCTCGTTTTATACAATTTTCAAATTGTATCTAATTTCTCTCTTTCTCGTTTTATACAATTCGATTCAATTTTATATTTATTGTTAAGTCTCTTTTGTCTTTCTATCTTTCTCATTTTATACAAATTCAAATTGTATATAATTGTTCTATACACTTATAATAATACAATTTGTTTTATACACTTCGTTTATATACTGTTCTCTACCCAAATGTCTTTCTCTTTCTTGTTTTATACACTTCGTTTTATACAAATTGCTTCAACTGTATATGTATCGCAAATTATACAATTTCTACATTTGCTATGAAGCGCAATTATACAAACTTTGATATAGCATATAAATATAAATTTTTTATTTGCTATATGTGAAAATTGTCCTTTTAAAAGATCAAAACTTAAGGCCCATTTGGCTTGGATTTTTAGAAAACTCAGCCAACTTAGCTTGTATAATCATGTTAGTTTAACGTTTTCAGTGGCTCGTTAATATTGTTAAAGTCAATGATAAATTATGTCCACAAAACTTGTTTCTTTGCTTTATTATATACTATATATATGTGCAAATTACTTTGTCCATTTCCTATTATTTATCTCATATGATAACAAACAGTAGTTACTATTCGTTAAGAAAATACACTAATGAGATTGTAAAATATTCTAAAATTAAATGTAGTGGAGAACACTTATTTTAATTTAATGATATTAGACTAATACTATTTGAGAGATTTTTGGATTCAAACTTAGATCTAGAATTTTTTTTTTTCGAAATTGTTTCTTTTCTTAAATGAACATCACATGACGTAAATTTAAATTAATTTCGAATAAAAAATGAGAAATTTTAAAAATTATGTAGCAAAGAGCAAGTTGATCTTCTAGAAGTCGCACATCCGATCTAAAAATAAAATAAGATAAGCTGTAGAGGTACTAATAAAAAGGACAAAAAGTAAATTATGATTATAAAAATAATAATGATAAAATAGAAAAAAATATTAAGATAGTGACGTGATCGCTAAATGATCGTTATATAAAATAAGTCTTGCCATTATTTAATGATGAATTTAAATGATACAATATAATAAATTTAAGTAACAATCGAACAAGATTTTAGTAACTAGTACCTCCTCCATACAAAGTTTGTATAATATCACATACAAAGTTTTTTCCTATTTGGTTAAGGTAAATTTTTTCCTATTTAATTAAGTTTTAAGTACAATTTTTTCCTATGTTGGACACGATAAATCTTAATTTTTATAATATAATATTTAGATATACTTTATATATTTGATTAATTAAATTTTCTAGTTTAATTATCAAATAATAAAATAATTTATTGTAAATTGTTTATATCAATATACTAATTAAGGATAATATTTATATATACACACTATCTATATAATATATGTTAAAAATTATATAAAAATATATGTTTGACTAAGTAGCAAGTTTATTGATATTTCACGATTACTTTAAAAGAAAAATGTACTTTTTTTTAAATTTAGTTTTTGTCAAGTAAATTCAATGTGAATCAAATAATCCCCCTTTCTTCACAAAATAACGAGACTCACAGTTGAACAGTATTGACAGTGCTATAATCGAGAAGAAGAAGAAGAATTGGGGAAAATGGCGATGGAGAGAGGTGAGCTGATTTACAAAATTTACAGAGCCCTAACCTATGGATTATCGCCGCTGATTCAGCTGCACCTGCGGTGGCGCAAATTCCGTGGCCTGGAACATCCTCTCCGCTGGCGCGAGCGTCTCGGAGTCCCTTCTCTTTCTCGGCCCCCTGGCCCTCTCTTCTGGTTCCACGCTGTCTCCCTTGGTAACTCTTCTTCTCTCTTCCGTATTTTTTTGGCCATGTCTTAATACTAACACACACACACACTTACATCTTCTTTGGATTGTTGTTACTTATTACATCGCATCGTGTTTTTAGTTTAAATACAATAATTGTAACTTAAATTTTATTATATCCTCTTGTTTAAGCCATTGCTACTAACTACAAGAAGTGTCAATTTATATAAGGATCCATTTGACGTAATCACGTTGTTACCTTACTCGTTTTCCTCATTTTGTGTTTATTTACTACTTAATAAGCCTATTTATCCTTTATTCTACTTATTTATAGTAGCTTAACCTATATCCTACTTTCCATGTAGGATTTATTCTTCAAATTGTTGATGTCTGACATTATGTGTCAATATCATTGTATTTATCGAAGCAATAAAATACGATACATTATGAAACTATATGTAACAACCATCCAAATATAGTGTTACTCTAGGCGCACAAGCAGAGAGAGACTCATAATGTATGCATATTAGAATTAGAGAGTCAGAATATATACATAAGACGTATTATTATTATTTTTGTGTGTATTTGTAGATATAAACTCTCTTCCCCCAAACACACACACATATTACTTTTGTTATTGTGTAGGTATTTGTAATTTATACAATTGTATATTGTGCAATTGTTGTTCAAGTTGTTGATCGAACTATCCCTTTGTCTTAATTTATGTGATACCTTGTGAATTTGCACCAAGTTTATGATAGACTTTTGAAATTTGAGATCTAAAACAAAGGTACCCTTTGTGTGGCAATAAATCATTTCTTTAAAGGAAGGGTGAATATGAATTTTAAAGTTAAATTATATCTAATTATAGAAAAATGACATTCTTATTGGGATGGACTAAAAAAGAAAGTATGTCACATGGATTGGGACAAATAGTATTTCTTACTTTTTTTTTATATGAAATTGTTATCGGTTATTTAATTTGTTTGTTAAAATGCGGAATTAGGTGAAGGAATGTGTGCGATTCCTGTGATTAAATGCTGCATAGAGAGGAGGCCTGATGTAACTGTCTTGATGACCACAACCACCACATCAGCATTGTGAGTCTCAATTGTAATTCAAAGTTTCTTGAAGTGTTTGGTGAAAAAAAAAAATTGTGGTATGATGTAGCGAGAAAACTTAGTATTTGCAATTATAGTTTAGTTTTCTACTGCAGAAAATGGAAGGTAGTGTTTGGGAAATATATAAAAAGATGTGGTTCTGCAATTATGGAGGAAAATTAATGGCACAAGATATCCTTGATATTAAAAATCTAGCTTAGTGTATTAATTGTTGACACAAGAAAAGAAAGACCTGTTTGAGAGTGCATTTACGTTGTTGATAGTAGTGGAATGCAAGTTATGTTCAAGATTCCTTTTAGTGCCCAATAGAAACAGAAGGCATATCTAACTTATTGGATCAAAAAAATGCAGGCATAATCAACTACTTTGTGATGAGAAACAGAAGATTTGTCTTAGATCAGTTAATACAAAATAAATAGATTTTACTTTGCAGTATGCAATTTACTTTAACTTGTTTACTGATGTGGATATTCCAATTTTGTCATTTTAACAACTTCCGTCAGATTCATGTGGGTGTTATTTTCACTTCTCATTTCACGCCCTGCTGAAAAGCTAATTCATATTTAATACCTAGTTTGTTTGTATTTTTCTTACAGTGAGGTAATAAAGCACCAGCTTCCAAATAATGTCCTTTATCAGGTGCTTGTTCAATTCCTTAAGACTGATGCACAACTTACATTTTGCTTGATTGACGTCACTAAGTTGAGTTATCTGATAAGACACCAACTTCCCTTTCAATGTACTACTGTTTCAATTTCGACTTTTGCAAGTGAAATCTAAAAACAGGAGATCACACCTCACCTTTTTATTTTTCAGAGTTCTTATGATGTTCTGGCATTTCTTTTTGTGCACGAATTTTTCTTCTGAATATTTTGTCTTCTGACCTGCCTGTTTCCACTTATAATACTGATTTACGTTTTCTTTTAACCCAAAATTACTCTTACCGATTTATATTTTATACATGGCTTTCTCAACAAAGTTAGAAGATAGAGAAGGAGCGTCTCTAACATGTTTACAAATTTACCAGTTTTCTCCAGTTGACACTCCTGGCGCCATTGATGCTTTCCTTTGTTACTGGAAGCCAAGTGCAATCATGTTAATGGAAAGTGAACTTTGGCCAAACCTGATTATAGGTGCTGCAAAAAATCAGGTAGGTAGACATCTTTTCTGATTGCTTATGAACTGAGAGATGCCTGTTATTGTAACTTTTAGTATCTTGACTAAAGGCTTATATTTTCTACTAAGGATTTTATGCGAATTTCACTTAATTTTTCATGAGAACACTATTTCGTGTAACCACTGTTATCGTCCAGACACCCTATTTTGTGGTTTAGCATCCATCTTGTTCTTTTTTCGTTTTAATTCTCATTGTATTCACTTGTATGTCACTGTATTAGGTTTGTTTCTCTGCTTATGCTCATTCATTATGCTACTCAGATTGCACTTGCATTGCTTAATGCTCGAATATCTGCAAAATCTTATGACAGTTGGTCTCAGCCATTTGTTAATTCTCTGACATTATTAATGCTCTCCAAATTCTTGCTGATTCTTCCACTGGTACGCATCTCATATATTTTCATTGAAGTGTCTGGATTTTAAAGACATCATTTTACCTTTAATGTTCTGATTTTTATTTCTTTAAAGAGTACTACCCAGGCAATTCGCTTTCAACTGCTGCAGTGTCCACCTTTCATCATAAATTTTTGTGGTGACCTAAAGTATGGTATGGTCAAAAACAAAGACTTATTAGCTTGCATGATACGATAGAACTACTAGTACTCGCAATAACTTCATTTATATATTCCTTTAGGAATATGGTTGCATTTTCCACTGCTTACTAGAGAGCAGACATTGATTGTACCCTTCTTCTCACTTCCTTGTTATTTTCCCTTTAGCTGTAGGGAACATTGACACAAATGAAGGGGATCAAAGAGCGCTGGAAGAGTTGCAGGTACAGCTTATGAACAGAAAGATTTGGATGGCATCTTCTATTCATAAGGGTGAAGAAAAAGGTAGTTGCTTTTGCTATATAATGTATGTCAGTATATTAAAGACCTCTCATGGAGATGAAGAAATGAAAAGAATCTCGAACCTGAAGCAAGGGTGTTAGATAAGAGAGTCATGAAGGCCCTTTCTTTCTGTTACTTTATACCATATTGATAGTTTAAGCTTGAATTTTTGCAGGCATGTGTGTGAACAAACTTTTTTCTGTGTATGTGATTTTTTTACCTCCCTTACAATTTTTTCTAAGTTGTTCAAGAGAGGTGGAGAGGGTACTGGACCCTTAAACTCCCTCTTTATGACGTTTATTTGGTTGAATGGGTCTAGACTGTGGGAAGAGAAAACTTCTGAAGTCTGTTCGTCATACAATCACGGTTCAAGTTTAAAAGAAACTGTGTTCTGTCTATATGCTTCTTTTTAACTTACCTTGCAATTTTCTCTAAGTTGTTCAAGAGAGTTTAAGAGGGTACTGGTCAAACATTATTTATGACTTATATTTGGTTGAATGAATGTAGGACTGAGTGAAGAAAAAACTTCCAAAGTTTGTTTGTCATACAATCACTGTTCAAGTAAAAAAATAATAAAAATAGTGATTCAGCTTGACCTTGTATTCCCACTTAAGCTAACAAAGCTTAAGCCATGTGCACTTTGTTCCTTTCCAATTTAACATATGCTAGTTTTTTCCACTTCTAACTTGTTAAAAAGGAACTTTTTTCTACTTCTCTATATTTTTCTAAAAAGATGCATGTATTGATTGTGTGTTTTAAGGTAATTGGTGTTTGTTAAGTGGAAAGGGATCAGAAAGGGAAAGGGAAGAAGGGTTTCCCGTATGACCTGAGTAAGCTTCTGCTCTTGGGATAGAGTAGAAAAGCACTAAATAGAATGTACCTCATGGGCTGATGACATTGAATATAACTAAAGTTACTCTGTGCTGCTGATTGAATTTGTAATAACATTTATATGCAGTCATGTTAGGAGTACACAGCGCTTTAAAGCAAGTACATCCGGATATCATCACCATCATTGTGCCTCGGCATCCTCAGCATGGAAAACAAATTGCTTTGGTATGATTCATGTTCTCGCCTATTAGTATTTATTTATTGTCCTTCTCATATTGCCCTAACTTCTCTATCTTAAAAGCTAAAACCAAATCATTAAGTTTATTGAACCATGATCACACTCAAGTGCTTCTTCAAACTGTTAAGTGAACTTTTGAATAATCTTGATCTGTTCTTTATGCTTGTATTCATCCTCATTCTCATGTCCACCCAGTGGGCAGTGGAGGAAATAGTTGGAGGGGTTCCTGATATTGCATTATAGTTCAAGAGCAAGAAATTTGTCAAGTCAACATAAAAATACTTGAAAACAGCCACATTTTGTTAGAAAATTGAGAACAGCATGCATTTTGACCGTAAACCGTATGATTTAGTGGAATCATGATCCCAAGTTGCTAATAGGGAAGTCCATCGCCCAACAGGTTCAAACTAGACTAGGAAAACTGATGTTATACTCTTTGAGATGTATGGCTAAGGAAAGGCTTGTCAGATGGCTGTAGCTTTTCCATCTTCAGGGAATAATTACGTTGAAGCTCTTATGTGGTCTCATTGGAACTGAGAAAGGAAGGGATAATTGTTGGTCACAGAGATAGTAGAAGAAATTCCACCAAGATCAGGCAATTTTCAGCCACATTTGAACTCAAAAATGTTCCCACAGAACCCAGAAAACTAGGTTTCCTCAAAGTGCAGTCAAGCCCATTAAAGTATCTGACATACATTTAAACGCTACCAGTGACCACATGTTTTACATTCATAATGAGCCTTCCATTTCACCACTTTCTTGTCATTAAAAATGTCCTCAGGATTGATGTCAAAAGAGGCCTTTATCGCATAACATGGAACTTGTAAATTACTTCCTCTATCAAGACTGGATTTATGTTGTCTTCCTCAACTATGCAGGAATTGGAGAAAGATGGAGTAAGGGTAGCATTACGGTCTCGTCACGATAAGATAATGCCAGGGACAAACATATACGTGGTTGACACATTAGGTTAACCTCTTTGGCCTTATGATAATTCCTCAAGCTAGCTGACTCAGATTTTCAGTTTAGATCTGTTTAAGCTTTACATTCCATCTCTTTTCTAAAAAGTTAGTAGGTTATTATTTTCCTGTAGGTGAAATTGTCGAATGATCTCCATCACACGTTTTTTGTTAATTCTAACAAACTAAGATTAGCTAGAGAGAAAATCGGAAAGAGTTTAGAGTTTGTTGCTTATATGCTTTGTTCTAGTTATGGATCAAATTGCCTAGAATGACTAGGGTGCGGTGCATACCAATTAATGATCTCGTCTCTCTCTTCTTGCTTAAACTTTTTCAAGGCGTAGATCCACATACTTCAACAAGGTACAAAAAGAAGTTTCACTTCTTGCAAAATTTCCCTGAGTTCCACCTATAGAGAAGATCTAGCTTGCACATGAGAGCAGGTTGAAAATTTAACCCCCAAAGAAGCTATACCTTCATAAGAACTAAATCTTATTTGTTGAGCCACAATCCACACCATATAATAACTTTCTTATATGTATAAGATATTTGCCTAGAGAAGCTAGACGATTAAGTACAGTAAATTTTAACGGATGAAATACATCCTTTTGTTATTAGCGAGGTCATTGATATTTCTTATTATTTTGCTCTGTAGGTGAATTACAAAAGTTTTACAGACTAACACCAATTGCTGTGATTGGAGGTTCATTTCTACCAGGTTCAGCTGGTCATAATATTTCAGAAGCCGCTGCAGCAGGCTGTGCTATTTTAACAGGTCAATTCCGTTTCCATCTTTTAGATAGAACTTGGATCCAGTCTGCAGCTAGGCTGGGATCAAGGCTTCTTTCATTTGTTTCTTTGGAGTGACTGATTAGTTTGTAGTAAAATTTCATGTTTGATTCTCATCTGGTGCATATTTATATTTATCAGTTTTTTCTATTGGTTCAATTATCAGGTCCTTATATCGGTCATTTCTCTCATATGGCAACACAGATGCAACGCTTGAATCCTCTGTCAGTATTACAGGTCTGGATACTTTGATCTATACACACTCGGCTGGTGTGCATTGGACATTTGTGAATGCATTCATAATGTGCTATTTATGCTTTTTATTGCAAGAGAAGGATGACACAAATATTTTAGGAAGGGATTAGTTCAACATGTGCAAAAAACTCTTTTATTTATGTAGTCAATTTCAAGGTCAATTATGAATTATGAGAGGATCCTTGAATGTTGCATACACAAACCCTAAATTGGAGAAAGGCAGATAACTAACCTATTTTGGAGAAAAAGAAGACTCAACGTTGTTTATAACCGAAAAAATGAGAAGGTGCAACAGCAACATAACACTTGGCATTTTGAGCTTGACATTTTCTTGTTCAATAGCTCTTATTGAATGATTGGAAATGAAGAGATAAAGCTAGTCAAGACTCTTATAATAATAACTGTTCAGTGAATAGCCTTTGACTGCAAATTTTGGATGCATTAGCTCCCTGTCTTTCTCCTACAATGCGTATCTAATGTACTGGAGTTAACTATCTTTGGTACAAATTAGCATTTCAAGGTGCCTTAGATGAAATTACTTACTTCATAAAGAAAAGGTCAATAGCCTTTGGCCGATTAAAGTTTCAAGAACCAGGTTGTTATCTTCTGCAGAATTTCTAAATATTTTTGATAGCATAGACCATAGTATTGTAATAGTGAAGTATCCATATAAGGTATGTCAGATATATAAGTTGATACAGTGCCTTTTAATTTTCAGCAGTACAATCGTTACTAGAAAGATAAACCAACTACAGTGGTAGAAGCTTATGCACTTACAAGTCTGAAGGGTTGAAAGTACTCTTATCACAGAGGCATCAGCATATTTCAGTGTTTACTCTGGATTACTTTGTATATTATTTTTTGTCTCCCTTTTTGAGATCCTTGTCTGGCTCCTTTGCTCTGGCAGGTTTCTGGATATATTCTTGTTGAAGCTCTCAGCAACCTTCTTAGTGATGCAAAACTTTTGGAAGAACGCCAAGAAGCTGCTAAGCAAGCTTATCATTCTCTGTCTTGTGGGATCACTGAAAATGTTTGGAGCTTTTTAGACTTCCACATTTTTCGGGTTGCACTGGCAAACAAAGGTTTGATGCTGTGAATCCTTTCTTCAGATCATTCCCATCTATGATTGGACTGTGGTCATGTTAAAAAAAGCATTCACGAGTTCCTGCATCAATATCATGAGATCTTGAACAGGAAAGAAAAATGTGAAGAATGTGAATGTTGTTCCCTCCTTCCCCTGTATATCAGGTTCTCATCTATTAATTTTCATTAATGTTATGAGAAACATCCCCGGATCATTGCACGCTAGATTCAGTCTTGCAATACCTCATTAATATCTGGTTGTCCCCAGTATAGATCACATTCTCCACTGTTTATTTTCATTAATGTGGTCTTCATCTAAACAGAATTCATTAACGTGACGAGAAATGTCCTCGGCCCATTGCATGCTAGATTCTGTCTGGAATTACCTCATTAGATATCTGGTTGCCCTCTGTTAATTCCTCAGCTGTTAGCTTGCTTGCTTGCCTGAAATTTCTGCAGGAACTACTGTAATGCATTTCTTTTGAATCCCACCTACACCCTTACTTGGCTAATACTCTGGACGAGTTGGATTTCCCTTGCTTCTTTTTTATAGTTCGCGGCAGTTTAATATCTACTTTTTTGCTTTCTCAGATTGTCCTTAGTGAGATTTGCCTCCCAAGATGGTTTAGGAGTATAGAGCAGCCTAAGAGGACAAGGATTTTTCAAGGGAGACCTCGAATGGAAGTGGTATCATAAGGTATCAGGTATTGCAGATGCATTAATCATATCATTAGCTGTACTTTGGGTAGTGTTAGGTAACACCTTTAGTACACCATTTGATTAAGAACTCTTTTCGCATAAACTCAATAGAGAACAATTTTGTTTGTTAGGAAGTCAAAGCTTGTTCTGCGACAAGCGACACAAAGATCTCCCACAGAATGAAGTATTCCTGGTTTAGGGATCAGTATTTGCTATTATGTTCATTATATCACATTACTACTATTAAGTTACCATAATTTAGTGTAGAAGAAGGATCTAACTGACTTCTTTAAATTATCATTGATTCAGTCCAGTGACAACAATGCTTGATTTGCTCGAGGTGATGTTACTGCTGCAATACTAACTGTTAAGGCATGTAAGAGGAATAGCTGCAATCTCCTGAGTGAGATTGCTCAAAGATTGAAATGAAGAACTTGATAATCTGAATGGAGTGCATTTGCGCTTTTGTTGATTGGACGCGATTCTTTGAAATCTCTGGACCGATTTGCTGACTAAAGTTATTTACATCTTGCATGGCTTATTGGCTTATTCTCTAGCTGCGTCAAGCAACTTTCTGAGCTTCGCGATGGTTTCAGCTTCTATTGGGATCCATCTATACATCTTTAATCAGAAATCTATTCTGGAATCACTGCCTCGAATGCTGACTGTTGTTGCTGTGGTAACAGGTAAATCCAGTCATAATATTCATCGTAGAGGCGACCTAGGTGAAAGTTTTCCAGAAATTTGTTCAGTTCACAATTTGTTACGGTTATGGCGAACTATGGCTGGGAAATGAACAATGACAACATTGACTAATGCTGAGAAGTATACAGTGTTCGACATACAAAATGCAGATTAAATTTAACTAGAACAACTGTGTTTTTTTGGGGTATAATCCTGGTATTGGGGCCAATTTGTGTGCATCACTACTAATTCACGAGTACTTACTATCTTCCACCAGAGCAGTTGTTTCTTTTTTAATGTCGTTACTTATTATTTTGCTTGTGGAAATGTTTATCCCTTTGAGAAGTTTCCTTTCTCGTCTTTTAGTTTAACCATTTGGAATTAAATCCATTCACTCAACTAATTCAAATTCGTATCATATAAGATCATATAAAGCAAAAACGTTGTCCATGGGAATTCCTCCGTCACCCAAGATCTTGACATTCATCGAAGATAAAAATAAAAATACATTTTATTTAATATAAGAATATGTTCGAATGTTAAATGATTATTGTTGAATGTATGCTATGTATAATTAAAGGGCTGTTTTTATATAGTTGTCTTTTGTATTCCCTAATAGCCACCACCTTAAATAAAAGATTATATAATATGAAATGACCAAAATCCAAAAAAATACGACCTTCCCCACTACAATAATTTTTTTCAAAATAATAATTACGACAAAATTAGGTATACATAACTATTTTTAACTATTTGGAATTTGTGGTATTTGTCGTACGGAGCAAATTTAAGATTTGATTTTATGGGTTTGATTCTTCAAGTTTTTATTATTAAATTTACCTTAAAAGTATAGAGTTCCTATTTATTATATCTTGCGATTTTAATAATCTTTTGCAAGTTATGTTTCATATTAAAAATATTGATTTCAAATAAACGTGAGTGATAGAATTAAGATTTGGTCGAAGTGATAAAATCAAAACGGTAATGCAAAAATAAGTCTATTGTCTTATATTCTATAAAATAAATTTTTACACTATAATCATTAATATTGTAACAAATAACCTGTCTTCTTTTTAAAATTACAATTTCACATTTTATTTCCATATCAAAACATCTTTAGAAGGATTTGAACCAAGTTTTAGTATCATGTGAAACTTATAAAAAAATCAAAAAAAGGCTTAGTACTAATTCTTTTCAAACCACTTTGAACAATTTAGAATATATTTTATTAAATTGACCTAATAATGTTGGGGGATGACGGCAAGATTAGAGCAGCAAAGCTTTGACTCATTGTATTATTGTACCTGCAGACTATATAATATATATAATTTTCTCTTTTGTCCTTTTTAACGATTAAAGTTTAATTTTTAGCTCTGTCACTTTTTAAAATATTGAAGACTCACTTTTTTTTATTTATAATTGATTTAGCTGAATAAACATGAAAAATATCGTAGTTGAATTTTGTGGAACTTGATTGTTGAAAGAAGACAAATATGTGGTCATCTGTCAAGTGATTTATGAATGTTTGGATTGCGTCTAACGTGAATAATTGTCATTTAAAGTTATTCATATCAATTTTGAAGCAAAAACATATTAAAACTACGTAGTAAGTTTATGTTAATAGATAAATTATGAAAATTCATCAAAAACTATGACATAGACAATGATTTAGTATAGTTGAAATTTTGCGCAAATTTCGGCGAGTGCGTCAAATCAAGCAAATTTTTACTTACAAGAAAAGTATAAATATATCCTGAATTATCGTAAATTATATGCAAATGTTTTTCATCATATTTTTGAGACATTGATGTCTTTATTGTCCAAAAACTAAAGCATATATACCATTTATATAAATGGACATACATGTATCATAATCTTATCCACCGATTCGATATTTATTAAAATCAAATCGATGAATAAGATTGTGTCACATGTCTCTATTTAGTCTTCCGTTAGAGAGAATGACATATACTCTAGATTTTAGACGACAGAAACATCAATATCTCAAAAATATAACAAAAAATATCTATATACCATTTACGATAGTTGAATATTCGTCATTTTTCCCTTCTATTATAGTGCAAATGCTCAAAGGACACAAAATTATACCTTTTGGCAGAAGGCAACAAATACTTTATGAAAAGACCATAAGTTGATCGTGACACTATGTTACAAAAAGAAATAATATATATTTGTAGGCATAGCCCAAAAAGAAAAAGGACAGGCCAACAGGATAATTCTGCCCATTGATTATTTCAACATAAATTAAACTTATTTGAATACGTAATATAGCATAAATTAAACTCATTTTAACCAAAGTGTTTTAAGTTATTGTATATATAGATTTGAAATACAATATTTACATATTTTAAATTTCTTAATACAAATTCTGATCTCGTCACAATAATATTATTATTCTTTTTTTTTGTGTGTGTTTTTATTTTTCAATAGCCAAATAATTCTAACTTGTTGCTCCAAAATATATGATTTTTCTAGAAAAAATTTCATTCGGTGTTGAGAGTCCATGTTAAAATTGTGTCCAAAGCCTATATTAAAATTTTGACTAAATTCGAATCACGTACTGTAAGGTTCATTCGATAATTGTATTTTCAACATTAATTTTCTCCATTCTTAAAATTTAAATTCGAGATATCTGATTAAAGCTGAAGCATTTCCACGAGTAGACGACGTTGGTTTATTTTTACTTTTTGGGTCTCTAGGTGACCACATGTTCCTTCTAGAACATGTTCTATAGTACCATAGGTCCCATGCTTCACTGCTTACGCCCTCCTTTTTTTCCCAATAAACACATATTTTCGATAAATTGTATTTTTCGTGGTTTTCTATATTATAGTATTCATAATTTTAAATTGATTTGACTCTCGTAAATAAAGTGTTTTTTAAATAATTAAGATGGTTTTTACTTCATAAATTTTTATTTTTATTTCATATTTATTTATATAATATTATTTTATCAAATATGAAGTTTAGAAGAAAACAATAATATTTAAAATTCATATAGGTTTTAAATATTTTTATGATTATTAATCGCTTTACAAAGAGTACAGGAAAAAAAATTAAGATTTTAACTTTAGAAAAATGATTATTTTAAAAAATAACAGTATGCTAAATTAGGATGAATGGATATCTACACTTTTAACTTGCGCTTTAAAAAGTAATTTTGTCTTTTAATTTTAAACTATAGATATTTTAATCAATAGATGTTTAGCAATCTTAAAGGAAATTTACTTGTTAATATAAATTAATTTTTGGATATGTACACTAAATGTGTGCTTTATATATATACAAATTAATTAGGATGATTAATTTTTTTATTGTTATTGATGTCATGTAATTTAATACTTTCTTTTTTATTCCTTTTTAAATCACTTTTGCCATACGTCACCCATCTTTTGTCTATATACCCAAAAATGTTCAACCTTATAAAAAATGATATTTATGTAATTACATAGTTTTAAGTAATAGTATCTAATATTTCTTGTATATACACTTATATTAAATTTATCATACATTAATGTTGCTTTACTTCTTTATCTATAATCATCTTTCGTATTGATAGTGCAATTACATTTGTTTAATAATGTCATATTTTCACAATTTTTTTAAATCTATCTCTATGAAAATACTAACATAAAAATTCATATTATATACATTTACAAACTCAAAAAGTACTTGAAATAAATATAAAAAGTTATCATCTTAGCTTAATAAATTATACATTATAATTACTATTCTAAAAAACTACACTAATTTTCAAACAACCTCTCAAAATACACAACAAATTTTTTATATTTATATTTATCAAGGGACCAGTCAATGGTTGGAAATAGATCCACAGAATATAACAAGACCAAAAAAACATATTTTTTTTTTTCTAAACTAACAACTAAAAACAAATTACTTGAAAAGAGGATTAAAAATAGCTATAGTCATAACATGTTTCTTGTTCACATTTAATTGTCACGATTTTCTTTGTAAAATTATAAAAATTTTAACTTTTTTTTTATGTATTTTTCGTTATATTAGTATGTAAATAAATTATAACTTATAAAACCTTTTATATAGTTTTTAAATATTTAATTTTATTATTTAAAATATAAAATTAAAATAATTTAACTTTTTTATTGAACATTAATCAAATTATGTTTTGAAAAATATAACACGATAAATAAAAGTGGACGGAGAAATAGTTTTCAAACTTTCAACAAATTTCTTGAGGGAAAAGAAAACATAAGCACTTCACTTTATTCACAGCCCATTACAAAAAGAATCAAACCCTCAAAGCACCAAAAAAGACTCCTTCAAACTACTAGCAAAGCACATTCTCTTCCCTTTTTCCACTTCTCTCTGTGAAGTTGTTCACTTTTCTTCATCTGGGTCTTTGATTAATTCAGCAAACATGCATTCAAATCACTTACTTCTTGAAGAACCCATCAGGATGGCCTCAATTTTAGAGCCATCTAAAGCTGTGAGTAACAAAAAGATTGAATCTTTTTGATGTATTCTACTGTTAGATCTATGTTTGCATGTGGGTTTGGTATTTATGTTTGATGGGGTTTGTTTGTTTTTGAATCTTGCAGAATTTTTTTCCGGCTATGACTAAGATTGTTGGGACTTTGGGTCCTAAATCTCGATCTGTTGAGGCTATTTCGGCTTGTCTTAAAGCTGGAATGTCTGGTAAATCTTGAAATTTTGTTACTTATTTGGTTTTTGGTTATTGGGTTTATAGTTGTATATGTATTGATTGATAATTTGTTTGTTGGTAGTGGCAAGATTTGATTTTTCATGGGGTGATTCAGAGTATCACCAGGAGACTTTGGAGAACTTGAAGGCATCTATTAAAGCTACTAAGAAGCTCTGTGCTGTATGTATCACAATTTGTTTTTTTGTCCTTTTTTTTCTGATGTAATTAATGCCTTTTTGTTTGCTTTAAAGTTTTTAACTTGCCTTTGTTTTTTGTTGAGTTTTTTGGACTCGTGGTTGTTTATACATATCTCCTGTGTGGAGAGTGGGTCAGGGGCATATGTATTAGACATGTACTGTTATGCTAAAGTCTGTACTTCTTGTTACCAATAGAGATATTGGATGACTTTTCCGAAAAGGTTTTAGTCACATTGTAAGAAAGGAACTAGCTTTTTTGACTTGTCTCTCATGGTTTTCATCCCACTTCATCGACTACTTAATCACACAATTGATGATTGACCCTTGTGTCGTATGGGTCTTAAGTTCTGGGATCTGCCTCTCATCAGTGGGTTACTAATCATAAAACACATGTCCAGAAACTTAATGCTGTCTTGAAGCATGCCGCAGTGGGTGGCGGGAGG